GAGAGAGAGAGTGAGAGAGTGTGAGAGAGTGAGAGAGAGAGAGAGAGAGAGAGAGAGAGAGAAATCATTTAAAAGTCAAGTTGCTTTGCTTCCCAGCACACATTTCAGTCCAGCGTCGCTCTGGTGTCTGATCCCATATTAGTATTGGTGGATCCCTAAAAAGAAAGTTCCTGGTGAGTGTAAAAGTCTGTTGCTTGTTCTGATGTGTTGTTCATGATTGTGTGAAAGCGTTACAAACTAAACAACAAGCACAATGCCAGTGTTAATAATAAATATGTTCAGTAATGTTTGCCATCACCAGCCGATATGAAGTGTCCTTTATGCTGGTACTGTGATGTCTCTTGGTGGGCTCAGCTGAAATCTTCAAGACAATGGACCCTGAGGCCTCAGGTGGGATCACTGCAGGTTTCTAATGGTAGACCTTCACAAAGTCATCCTTTCAAAAGCTGCTTTGTTTTCCTGGTAAGGTTTTGAATGTGTTTAATGACCCAGTACCATGGGAACCATTCTTTCCAGTAAAAACAAGCCCTAAATTGTAGCTGCAAAGTCTTTTACATTTCTGCTGCTGGGATTCCCAACCTTGAAACACACGTTTCACAGAATGTTCTCATGTGACTGATATCTTATTAATCAGACTAGAACATTTATTTTGCTCCTGGTTGCAAAAGATGTAATCCCAAATACTGAATGGATGTACCGCTGGGATCAGTTGAGTCCTGTGTCATTTTCATCTAAACACAGTGTCATGTAACATGATTGTAAAATCTAGTCTTGCAACTGTAGTGTAGGGTCTGAAAAACATATGTTCCACCAACTGGGAACCAGCTCCATTCCCGTTCAAGCACCTAAAAAACAGCATATTTACACACATTTAAGAAGTTGGAAGCAGTGGATATTTGGCACTGATGCTTATAAAAAGACAACAACAAAGCAATTTTAAAAATGATTGCCCAGACCTTTCTTGTCAATCCATGAATAGTTTCAGCTTATTTACTGTGCTTCCACAAGGCACTTGTAAGTAGGGAGATGTTTTCGTGCCGACTCTTAAACGAATTACACATACATGCGGTGTCTGTTTTTTTTTTATCCGAAGTGCTCATTCATTGTACAGTACTGATGACTGAAGTTTGGACAGAAACTGCAACTGACAGATATGTGCCTCCTCATCCCACCTGAGAGCTCACCACAGGCCTCGGTCCTGCTCCCAGCCTGCACCAAAGCATCCCACAGCTCGTAGTCTACCATGCACACACTAACTGGAGTAACAGTGTGTACTAACACTTTGTGTAAGGGAATTGATCTTTGAAGCCATTTTCTCCGCTATGCAGTTGAAAATAGTCCTATTATGTTGTCTCTACACCTGCCACGATGACAATTTCAGGTTGAGTCTTGTTTGTCTTTACCAGGCACTTGTCATAACTGGTACTTAACTCATTTAAGGTTAGTGTAGGTAATGTTTATAAAAATATATTTTTGTTATATTCGCTGAAACTTTATCCTGACAGTAGTACATGAGACAGATAAACCGTGAAAAAAGAACAGACTTTCCTCTGGCTCCTCCTAGTTCTCTTAATGGTATCTGCAAGAATCCACCAGGCCTGAACAAAAACAACCAATCAGAGCCAAGAAAGATAGTTGATCAGGTGGTCAAATATGTAAACAATTTGTTTTGTGGCTTGAAGCTTTGGGAGCTTTTCACAGATAATCTGTCTCATGTATTACTTGTCAGGATAAAGTGAAACTTTGAGCAAATATGACAAAAAGTTATTTTCATAAATGACCTACTGCAGCTTTGCTGTCTGTTAGCATGTGGAGCTCAGCTGTCATTCCCTGTACTTGTGATGAATGTACAAACCGTTTTCCTGTAACGTGACGAATGCCTGGCAAACAAAAGCTTGATTCCAAGTGTTGTGAAGTTTCATGGAGAGGACTGACTTCAGCTCCTGCTGTAGTAAAGTTTGAGCAGTTTGCAATGTTTACCAGCTGTACAAAAAGCTATTGTATTTGTATTTCATTGTATGTCATTTTGTCTTTGCTGTACAATCACAGTTCATTTAAAAGCAATTTTCTAATTAATCATCTGTTCTTTTACAACATTCATCTCACAGTTTCTTATATTATGGTATGAAGTCATTTAGTTTTCTTTCTGTATACTTTTTCTGACAAATTCCCAAAAACATCTCCAAATGTTTGGTTCATAAATGGGTTAAGTTAGTACTAATTTAATTATTTTGTTAAATAAATGAATGCTGAGACTTTAAAGTTGTCTTGGTGTTTAGTTACACAGACCCACATTAGTGACAATATTACACACACCGTAGGGATAAACTGGAAACAAAGGGAAGACATTTGTGGCAAAACAAACATTGTGTCCCTGCAACAGGAGCACAGTCTGAATGCCATGCTCAAGGGCACTCTAGAAGCAAACAGGCAACTACTTGTTTAGAAACCTTAGGTCCTGTCTGCATTAAAATTAGATTTGTGTCTGCAGCATGTAACTATCAAAAACGACAGCACAAAGCACTGAATTTAAATATAAAATCTACTTTTATTGGATAAACATACATGGCACAGCTTTAAGAATAAATAGACATGATGAGTAACATTTAAACTCTGAAGACTGTTTACGATGAATCTCTTTTAAAGGTTTTGACTCATACAATCAATTGTCCACAGCGGACAAAAAAAACACACCAGTCTCCAAATATTATCTCCAGTTATTATTCACTATTTATTTATTTTTAAAGGTCCACTGTGTAGGATTTAGTGAGATCTAGTGGTGTAGTTGCAGATTATATATTATACACCTCCTGTTTCAAGCATGTAGGAGAAACTATGGTGGCTGCAAAACTATTATGGGGTTCTGCAGACTCCGTAGTAGAGGCTAACCAGTTCCCTCTGTAAATAAAAATGTCTCATTCTACAGTAACAAAAACACGATTCCTATATTCTGGCAATTATACACTCATGAAAACATACCTATAAATATTATATTCCATTTCTGATAATAGATCCTCCTAAATTTTACACACTGGACCTTTAATTTAGGACAATTAAAATGGCTAAAGTTCTCCAGTAATAGTCCAAACTTCATACACTCCATCCTACACTGTTTACACTGCATAAATAAATAAAACAGCTTCACAGCTACACAATTTCAATATATTACTTTTGAAAGCCATTAAATGGTGTCTAAATACATTACTGTCAGCATCTGAATGGAGTTATACTTATGTGTGGGATTAGTGTTAGTCTGTAGTGGAAGCATTACCTTCACACAACAGTTTAATTGTACATAAAGATCCCAATATTAGGGCAGTGCAGTGGTCAGCACCTGGTTCCAACCTGCTGGTGGAGGTGTGAATAGTTGTCTTTATATGCAACATGTATCAGCCCTGGGATTGATTAGTGGTTTCAAGATCAGCTGGGCTCGGCTCCAGCCCCTCCACAGCCCTCAAAGATAAGCAGGTATAGTTTATAAATGGATGGCCAGATTTCAGTCTTATAATAAATAAAGCTATAATATGTAACATTTCCACATTAAAATGTCTATAAAACACTAGACCTAAGTTACATATTACTATATATATATATATATATATATATATATATTCAAGTAACGGTGCTTTTCACCGGTCG